ATCATCATTAATATTACTATATACATATAATCATTAAATTTATTCCTATAAAAAAAGATTAATATACTCGTTAGTATAAAAATTTTCTTGTATATCGATTAATTTCTTCGATCAATTCTCAATTCGATCTAGAAATTCATCGAGCATTATACTCCATAGCTATGATTCGTTATGTACGTATTATAAATTTAAACGATTGTGAATGTATTTTACTTACGTTTGCACGAGTGCTACTTCCCCCGATTTTTTGATTTTTATTTTGTTATTGAAGCATTCCCAGATGAATCTCGCAAGCACTTTTTTGTAGAGAACATATTTACTGACCGGCATTTAAATAATCGTGTATTCCGATATATTAAAATATTTCAACGGGATACTGAGGGGTGTTAAAATAGATATACTATAAATATTACACACACAAGATGCATGCAAAGAACTGATCGCAACCAAGTGTGTGTCATTAAAATTAATTAAATTGTTAATTTCGTGCAAATGAAATCGGAAATACATTACCAGTCCCGTTGACAAAGATCTACTCGTTCTCAAAAATGAGAACGTGTAAAGAGAGCAATGTTGTATGAAAAACGCTTTCGATGTTTTGTGACAAACAGTGAGTCCTATACGAGGCTATATAGTATAATAAGTAAAAACCCTTTGCACTCGATGTTTCTTTCAATGTATGTTACGTAATCAAATCGAATTATTGAAATATAAAAAATAATTTTGAAACGATCGATCGAATGTTTATTTTTTAATGATTTTAAAACGATTAGTTAAAATAATAAACAGAAAAAATAAATTATGATATAATCTTTCAGTAATAATTATTTGATTTTTTATGAGTTTTTTTTTGCATTTTTTTATATATTAATAAAAAACTAATAATAAAAAATTTGCGCAAGTTCTAATAGTGTATATGTTCGACATTGCTCGAACAATGCGATTATTCTCGAGGTCGATGTCAACCTGCTACTGTTCCAGCAAAATCGATTATCGCAAAGTCGATTATTGCGACTACTCGAAGCACTGACTTTCGATCCTTGACAATGATTGGAAATATTTTGGCCTCGATTAATATTTCCAAAAATACTGATCTAAGAGTAGGTTTATGATAAAAGTGACACAGAATCATCAAAATTATCTTATTTATTATTATTTCTTAGTATTTTTTTTTAACAAACTAAACTTAATAGTAATAATGAGTAAAAGATGTGATCAATTTATCAATCGATAAATCTTTCTTCTTGTAATATTCTCCTAACCTACATAATCGATATTTCAAGATTAATTAGTCAATCGATATTTTATTACGTAACATATTAGAAAAATTTTTTGTGATCGAGTACAAAGGAAACTATGTAAAAAGAAAAAACATTTATTTTTCTTTTTCATTATATAATAATTTTAATTATTACAGCACCTGTTTGATATTGTGAGCACATAATGAAATATATCCGAATAATTTATGCGAAATATATTTTAAATTCATTGTTAAGCTATGCAAGAAAGAATTTTTGTTTTGACACGAAGAAAGTATTTTTAAAATACAATTGGGAGAACCAGGGAAACGAATGCGATTAAAAAATTTCGTATATAACATTATTGTGTGCACGTGTTGAATATTAGTTTGAAAGAGTGAATGAACAATTTATGAAACAAAAGTGACAAAAAATGGAAAAATAAGAATTGTAAATCCTGTTAATCATCGTATCTGTGTATTTTTTAACGTTAGCATTGAAACGCCTATATTCCTATGGAATCGATGATTCATGCTATAATTTTAATGACAAAAATGGATTAAAATAAAATGTTAAAAAATTAAAAAAAAATTATTCGTTTAGAGACTAATTAATTTTCGTTTTAATTAAAAAATAATTGAAATCAAATTATATATTTTATAATATAGTAATAATTTCATTTTTGTCATTAATTTAAATCTTAAATATAAAATGGATGTTGCATTTTATTTATATAGGAAAAATTTATTTCTAAAGATATATTTTCATTCATTTATCCAGCATTTTTGTTACAGGTGCCAAAGAAACATTATAAAAAAAAATAGAACTACTATAATAATAAAAAAAATGGTAATAAAATATAATCTTACATGCTATAACATTGACTTTGTTTTAGCCAAAATGGATCTATTTTGATATCAAATTTTTGTAAAAAAACAAAATAATTACACCAATAATTTTACACTATCATTATTCATTAAACAAGTTTTTGTTTTATATAAAAATATTTTCATATGGCATTCATTATATAAAATTTTGAGGAAAAAACGCACAGATTTTTTATATGCATTATAAATTTTAAAAATTTCATTTTTGATCTATTGGTAAAGACAAAGACAATGTGAAGCGCAAAAATTCTAATCAACTTCAGGCCACTTTCACACGTATCTCTAGAAATATAAATAATAATTTTAAATAATAAAATTTCTTGACTTTCAATTTTCATTAAATTTTATGAAAATTAATTTAAAAAAAATTAATATACTTCAATAAGTATCGCGATGTGTTTTGTGAACTTAAAAACGTGAGAAAGAAACCTAAAGAAAAATGCATTTTTAATAAACAAACTGAATAACCACAAATATGAGAACGCTATTAAATGCAACGATTTATGTTTGATTATATCATTTTTTCAGTTTTTTAATTTTTATTTTATTTATTTTTAAAAACAATTTATTTTATCATATATAAAAAAAAATATTTATGTATATACGATTGCTTGTGTATTTGCCTCGTTACCTTAATTAGAAATCAAAAACATCACAATTAATTGAATGCAAATATATGTATATCTAATGTGTTAAAATATTAATAAAAAATTTAATCGCAAATACATGGGCAATTATGTGAACCGAAATAAGTACTGTTATTTGTCTGATTATTGTATACAAAATAATGAATAAAAAATGTATATATATATAAAAAATGATAGTTTTAATCAAGTTATACCTATTAATAAAATATATTAAAACGTTTAAAATTTATTAGACTTAATTTTCAATCAATGTAATTTATATTTTCAATGCCAATTAAATTTGTATAAATGTTATACGATCATATTTATTTTATTTAATATCTAACTTTTGATAAGTTCATAACAATTATGTATTAAATGTACTTATATAGCATGTATTAAATAACAATTATAATTGAATAAATAAATTCTTGTTACTTGCAATATTAAAGCTTCGCTTTTTTATTTTATCCTTATACATAGCTCGAGTATATTAATAATCTATATATATATATATATATATTTATATATTTATATTTATGTTCATATTTATATTTATATAATATTATGTATATTTTCATCACTCATACACACACATGTAGGCGTGTAACTCTTTCCATCTTTCTTTTTGTACGTGTATTTCCGAGTTTACAACAGTCTATCGTGTCGTGTGTGTAATTGAGTGTAATTCACGGTGTGCGTATCATCTATGCGTGTCTATTTATATATACGTATATACAGTGTCAATCATTTTTAAATATTTCAATATAACATCATCAACCAATAATTTATTTTATTTAAGCTACACATACAAGGGATTGCGTATTTCTCTCCCCCTTTCTTTTTTTCTCTTAAATATCATGCATGCATCGCAAAATCATCTTTTCTTATATTCACACAAACATGTTCTGCTCTCTCTTTCTCTCACATACACGCACACGTGCTCATCTTTTTCTATTCTTTTTCTTGTTTTTTTGTTTTTTAATTAGTTAACTCGAAATCTCACTCATTAAACAGCTCTCGAAGACTAAGGACACCCAAAGCGGATCACAGTCTGTCTCTGCATTCGTAGAATCTTAGCCAAACTCCCGGAAAGGAAATTGGAATAAATACAGATCATAGAGGATACATTAACATTTCGTTTCGTCACAACGAATTCTCGAATCCCCATGATTTATATAATCGATCCTTAAATACGCATTTTATAATTTTTTTTTGAAATGTTTTACGAAACATAAAATCCAATTGCAGTATTTTATCGTCAATTTTCAGATAACGATTTACCGTAAGGAATCATATAGTTTTGTTTTCTTTTTTGCATAATTACATGATATTAAACAATTTTTTTTCTTTAATATTTTTGCATAAATAAGGATCTGAAAATGATTCGAGTTTTCGGGACGAAATCTTGGTCCGAATAAACTTAGAATTTTTTTTTTTATGAACTCCAGTGTTCGAGAAAAAATTCTTAGAGAAAATTTCTTGTATAACATTATATTAACCCTTTTCTAACTGTGCTTCTAAAAAGTGTTTCTTTTCTATAATATTTTTTAATATTGAATTTCATAAATTACATTATCGAAGAATTTTATTAAAATTGTAATATTAGCAAAAAAAACTAATGAAATTTCTACATTAAGTAAACAGTGTAAAGATTTGAAAGAACTTCAATTTTTTTATAAATTTCATGCTATATTATGAAAGATGTATTTGAAAGGGTTAAATTACAATTAGATAATATCATTTCTGTATATAAGTAAGCTTTAAATCTAATTTATATAGAAATGTAATCACTGAACACTGGAGGATTTTAATTGGAACCTAATGTAATTGTTTTAAGTTAAACTTTTTTTTTTTGTTTGTTTGATATTTACACATCAAAATATCGAGCGAAAAATATGATTAAAGAAAAAAAGTTTTTTGGACGCAATTTCGTGGCAATTTTCGATCAATACGATCGTGTTGAAATTACAAGTTCATTAAATTTTCACATAAACGATTGTTTTTTTTAATTAAACTACTTCTTTTCATTCACATAATTATAATTTTTACGAGAAAAAGGATGACAGCATGAAAAGATTGTCTATTAAAAAAAGCATAGATTATCATTCAATTTTCATTTTCAAATATATTTGATAAAATACGAGTTTAAGAAATTTGCTTTTGCTATCTTTTTCCAAAATGTTATTTATATATTTTTATATTATAATTTTTATTATACGTTGAGTAAAATTTTACGTGAAATATTGTGTCTAAATATAATATATATATATAATTGTATTATAAATTTTGCGTAAGGTTAACACTTGAAATTTTGAAACGCCGACTGCAATATGACAGAATCAAAGATTCTGTATTGTATATAATTGTATCGTTGAATAGAGTGATTAATAAAAAAGACAAAATTGAAAATTAATGAATTGGTCGTTTTTGATATCATTTAAATAAAATGATATCAAAAATTTTATAATCACCCTTCGTCGAACGATACAAAAAATGATATGCCAAAAGTATGATATTATATATTGGATTAATATTTAAAGATTGATTTAATAATTGTCCTTCGTGATTGTATATCCTGCAAAAAACTTTATAAAAAACATTGATAATCGCTCGTAAAAAAGACGACAATGACGGATAAAATAGAAAGTCTCCGACAGCTTTTCGTAATAGTTTTTAAAATCGTAAAATGGCAGTTATTTGTCAATCCATTTGCTAAATACTCTATTATTTTAATGGCAGTAGCTATTTTTCTTTCGACGTCTCTTGAGCTCTAAGCTAATTGAATAAATATTGGAAGAAAGAAGTATTTCTAGGCTAGTACCCGTCTCATTGCGATGAGACCTGATTGCCTGATAGGCCTTGCCAATAAAATATTAATTACAGAGATACTTTCTCGCTGCAACCTGATACTGAAATTATTGTATACTTAATTATTATATTTATAAAAAATTTAATTTAAAATATAAAAATATCAAAAGTATATAAAAAAAATTTAACATAAATAAAATAAGTAATATAAATTAAAATTAATTAAAATTATGATTATCATTAAATTAAATGTATATATGTTAGATATAATATTATAAATAAAATAAAAATAAAATTTACCTTATGAGGTAACGAATAAAGTACGAGGTTGAGGAGAAGTATTACTAATCTTTTAAGTATTATCTAATCTTTTAACTAGCTTGTGATTGTATCACTGGAGCACCTCTGTGTAGTACCGAAGCAGGTCGAGATTTACGACTACCGGTAGCAGCCGGAAGATTTGTCGGTGGTTGAATCGGTTGCTGAGTAATTTGTTGAACTATCGCCGATTCTCTTTTTGGTATTTCCGGTGGTGATTGAAGGACATCCATATATTCACGAATTAGATTCGCAATTTGATGTGCCTACAAGTAAATGATAGTAAAAATACAAATAACAAATATGTAATTGAAATATTATAATAATATAAAATTATAATGTAAATTCTAAAAAAAAAAAAAACAAAGAATCACCTGAGATGTCGTAAGAATAACTTTGCTTTGCTTCTTATCAGTACCAGTGATAATCATCAAACAACTAACAGCTGGACTATAACTTAAAATACTGCTATATTCGTAGGTACAAAGAGTATTCCTGGAACGATGTTCCAGAAGATGAAGACCTTGTTGATCAACGGCCAACCACAAAACACGTGGCCAGTTTGAAGTAAATGATTGCATAACGTCGAATATCGTAGCTCTGTGAAGTGGCCATGACTGAATTAAATTTAAGAAAGCTTTCTTCGCTTCAGGTGGTGTCATTCCTCGTAATGATTGATGATGTTGAAGTACACCTTCTATACACAAAGTTGGAACCAGTCTTGGAGGCAGGCAGTGACTTGATATAGTACGATAATCGTAATCAGACACAGCATTTTCACAATCACCAAGTTCTAATTGCGCTTGTAACGCTGTTAACATCATCTGAAAAAGAAATTATAGATGTATCATATTCGATGTATCATATTCGATGTTAACAATAAAATATGTAAAAAAAGAGAATTTACAGCTTCTTTTTCAGTGATAGGGAATCGATCAGCACGTAAATCATGCAGTACTTGATGATAAAGCAATTCTTTTTCCACGGGATCATCAAGATTCATATACTGATCAAGGAACAAATGTTTTTTAAATAAGAAGAAATGATGTGCATGTTTTCTCTGAGTTTGATTTTGTTGTGCATTCGCCGTTCTATAACGTTCCCATTTTGACATTACATCAGCAATTTTTTCTTCCGGTATCAGGGCTCGTTCAGTTGGACCTAAGACCTCATAAATGGCATATCCTAAAAATCCCAATTTAATCATAAACATTTATAAATAAGAATTAATGTGGAATATAATATTAATTTAGCTTCAATTACCCATGGCAGTCTCTTCTAAACCAATTTTAGTTTTGATAATCTCCATCACATCTCTAGCAGTAGCTGATGGATGAAATTCAACAGCATGATACTGCCCGTCCATAAAATGGAATCTTGCGTAAATAGGTCTGCGATTAATCGTGCACATTATCTCTTCCCTACTTGGCGGCCATTGTCTTCTTCTTGTGCCTTGCGTTCTGTAAAGGCACTTTTCAGCAAATCGGGCGTACTTTCCCTCTTCGGTAACATAATCACTAGCACATCGTTTCAAATGTGCTATTAGATATTTTCGAACAACTTTTTGTGGAGGTAAGATAACTGAACAGGCCAAAGAAAGTAACGCCCAATGCCTGAGATTGACACGACTATTAGGATCGGGATGATCCGTAGTTTGTTTAATCAACTGAAGATACAATTCACCTAACAGATTTTCTTTTCTTATGCAACGTTCCATTACGGTTTGTATTAAATTCACGTGTTCATCTTCTACTCTACGAACAGTGTCTCCATTTTGCCCTAATCCAGCGTAAGTTAAAATTAATTGGAATACACTGAGACCCATTTGCTCATCAGGGTCTGGCAGTTTCGAAAGACTTTGAGGTATAGCTTGTCTACTAAATGCCCAATAAGCATAAGGAAATCCTTTATAAGTTTCACCATGATCAGTTGCACTACCATGCTCTTGTCTAAGTTTTTCTATTCGGTGTTTAGACAATCTTCGCAAAGTATTTCTCAAAAATCCTCCACCAGAATCTTGAGGTTTTCTTAATATCTCCGCGTCTACTAAAGTTCGCCGACAATTAACTAAATTATGATAAAGTCTAATACGATCCTCGTTAGTAATACATTTGAGTTTCTTAGTAGGAACCTCATTTTCCGTGATCCAACCTGCTAGTGCAGGACAATAACTAACGATCAAACTACCTATCTCATTTTTCTGCGGTGTTTCAAAAACAAAACACTTATGCGAACTATCAGGATTATGTCGAAGAAGAGACAATGTTATGAAAGAATCGCTCGGATCTAACATGATGCTTTCTACATCTTGATAACGATATTCCGATAAGACGAATTTGTCATCTGGTTTAATTAACATCAATCCGTCACAATTGATACCTAAGATTAATTGATTGCCATAAGACCAATAACCTCGATAAGTAACATTGAACATAGTCGTGCCGTAGAGGGGATATTGCATTACACAAGATAAATATAACACCTTGGCCGCCAATTCTTTGCGACCGGCACCATACTGTCTGTGTGCCTGCGCTATTATTGGCACCCAAACATCATCGCCACGGGCTCGACTAATTCGATAAGGCAAAAAACTATCAACTTCACTATAATAATCTAATCGATCGTTATCTTTTGGATCGCCCAAAGCGACTTGCGCTTGTAAGCCTGCCAATTGGAGCGCAACTTTTTCAGATACTGGAAAGTCGTCACACTGGAAAATTAAAAATAAAAAAGAAAGAGAATTAATTTTGTTTGAACGAACAAATCGAGAATATTTCAATCTTTTTCTCTGATTTACCTTCACAACGTTATATACAGCTTGAGCGTACAACATATTAACCTCGACAGGATCTTGAGATATTTCTCGAGTATTTCGGAAAAGTCTTCGTTTAAAAACGAATCGATTATCACCACTTCCTAAAGTAGCATTATTTCCACGACGAAGCGTTGAAAAGGTTGATTGTGCTGTATTTAGTTTGCATTGTTTCCTGAGAAAATAAAATTAATTATCAATATAAAAACTTATTAAAAACTTAATAATAATAATAATAAAACTTACATTTCCCAAGCGGCTATAACGTCGTACAAATAATCATGTGCTCGTACATGTTCCTCTCCATCTGGTCTACTTTGATAAATCGCCCAACCTTCTAGAGATCTAAGACCTAACTTTTCACCTAATTTAGCAACAGCATCGGCAGCAGTATCTGTCGGATGTACATCAATTGCTTTGGTTCTTCCATCCAAAAAGAAAAATCGGCAAACTATAGTGCCTAATCGTCTCATAGCTGCAATTTCTACAGTCGATGGCGGATGTTGTCTACAGGAAACTTTCATGTTTTTACAATTATCCACACACCATTGAACATACTGTCGAAGTTTGCCTTCAAGAGCCAAATTCTTTCGTAAGAAAGATACAAAGTATTTATACAATAGTTTACTAGGTTGAAAAGCAACAATAGCTAAACAGAGCAATAACCATACTCGTTCAGCCCATTCTGGATTGGGATTGTTAGTTGCTTGTCTCATACATTGAACGAAAATTTCATCTCTTAATTCTTCACGTTCAATACCGTAACCAATTATACTTTGAATGGTTGCAATTTCTTGATCTAGTTTCATTTCTCCTCTTATATACTTACAAAGATCCTAAGATTTAAAAAAGAATATTAATCTCAAAATTCATTAATGAAACAATATGTATAAATAATTACTTACTCTAAAGACTGAACAAGCCACATTAACATTATCAGGATCATACATATGAATATGAGAATTTGGTATAGTAGAACCTTTATAATAAGTAACCATTTCATATTTGGGAATATATTCTACACTCTTGCCACGTGACTTTCTAGTAAGTGTAGCCATTATCGTACCTTCCGGAGATCGCTCATGACTATTGAAATAATTTTGTGCAAACTCTACAATATCATGATAAGTAACTTCGTTATCAGATTCTTTTTTGTCTTCCAATTCTTGAAGTTTGCGTTCTACTCTACATTTACGTCTCTGTTCTCTTTCTACAGGTGGTTGTTGAGATTGTTGTGATTGTTGTTGTTGTTGATCATGACCATTCTGTTGTTGTTGAGGTATTGGTTCGTGATGATTATGATGTAAATGATGACTGTTTGAATTTCTAGATCCTGGTCTAGATGGAGGACTACCGGCAATTGATTCTTTCATGATTTTGTTATTTGGTACTGGCGGAGGTGAACCGCACGATTCACCATTAACCAATGGTCCAGAATTTCCATTAATTAAAATTGGACTACTAGGACTATTTTCTTCGCGTGGTAACACAGACTCATAAATTGGCTCTCCATTATCAGTAGAAGAATCACCATTTATTGTTAATGTAGTAGGAGGTGGTGGAGGTGGAGGAGGTTCAGTAGGTTCTGGAAGACTCGGCTGACCAAGTTTGCCAGTATTTGTACAAGGTATTCTTTGAGATTGTTGTTGCAATGGCGAGGTAACTTCTTGTCCATTTGGAGTATTTGCTTTAGATTCTGCTTTCGAATTCATTTCTAATTCTTGTTGGATTACAGTTTCTAATTCTACATCAAGATCTTCCACCAATTCATCCATTTGTTCGCCAATTTCTTCAATGATCTGATTACCTTTTGATGATTGTACGTCAGACAAGAATGAAAATAGATTGTCTAAGTCTACAGATTGTAAATCTGATGTAGCCATTTTAGAATTCATTTGCTCCGCCATTTGCGACAATGCAGCAATTTCTTCTTGTGCTTTTCTGTAAAATAGAATGTTTTATGAATATATTGAAATTTTATTTGATAATAAAATACTTTAGTTTCTAAGCGCACAAATTAGTCAAGTGCTGATGTGTGTATTCGATAATAATGCACTAAACGCTGCATCTATGTTAAAAGCAATTATTTTTAATGAATTCATCATGCTGCAGAAATTTTAATTCGCCATTTTTTCGAATTACCGATGAACTTACCCGGGTTCCATTCCAACAATACCATTGTACTGCGCGCTATAAAGGACACAAACGGAATATACTATTAACACACGAACGAACGACTATTCTATACTATCATCGCAGCATTTTCTATACTGTGAAATAAATGTGTCGTATCATATAATTCCAAAATAATTATTTTTATACCTTTGACTTTCTTCCAAAGCTTTCTTATCTTCCATTAATCTTCTCTCCTCTTCCAATCTCTCTCTTTTCCTCATTTCTTCATCTACTCGTCTCATTTCTCTCAAAGCAGCTGCAACTTCTCTTGCAAATACACCACGCAAATGACTTTGTATCACAATAGCTGCTCTTCGTTTTCTAATAAACATTATTCTTAATTTCCAGCCTCGGTATGCATGTTGCACTTTCAATGCAGCATCTCTTATGCGTTTATATTCTGTAAAAATATAAGATTTTATCAGTAAAAATAAGATAAAGAATGTATTATCAATTAAAAATAATTTACCGCGTCGAACTGTATAACCCCTCCATATTTTTTGAATCATTATTGCATTGCTAGTAACCATTTGATTTCTACAGTCTTCCAAAGGTTCGTGTACATAACTTCTTAAAAATACTTTGGTTTTGCCTATTTGCCATTCGGTCTCTGGTATACCTTGACTACTAATCAAGGATCTAACAGATTCTTTTTCATTATAAGTACGCGACATACGTTCTTTTTCCAGACAACGATATCTTGTTATAAAGTCATGGAAAGGCATATGTATAGGAAAACCTTCTTTCCTGATTCTAATAATATCCAACATGCCTAAATATTTCAACTGGTCCAGAACCAACTTTTCATCATAATGATTTGCAATTTTTTGCATATTAGGTTTGATACATCTGGCATACCAGGGTATAGTAGCTTGAAGAACATCGACCAAAGCTTGCAACTGATGTCTGAAGGAATCGCAAAGCGTTGGTTTGCCTTTCGAAGTTCCACGAGACATAGTAGTCGCATTTCCACCGCTTGCACGGGCTACTGTACATCCCAAGAGATCTTGATAAACTGTAATTTCTTGCACAAATTCATTTGTACTTCTAGACATGAAATCGAAGAACACATCTTGTTGTACATCTCGATTTTTATCCACAAATCCTTCGACTGTATACGTTACGCAACCTGCGTAATGTTTTACTCCAAATTCTTTTTCCCATTTTCGTCGATCATCTCCTTTCACATAGCACGGATGGTTCTCGAATTCTGCATGCAAATTGGTCAAATAAGCTAGGTCTGAACCTTTCGGCATATGGCACTGTTCGGTTAGTAATTTAAGAACACATCGTGGAGGTTTCTCGATTAATTCCAGGCACATGGTGTTGTCCGTGAAGGTGATATGGGAGTATTGGATCTCTTCCTGTCGGTACTGAAATTCAAAACGTTTCACGTGTTATGATAACCAATATAGAAGGACAAGTATCACCTAATCAACTTAAGAACGAGTTTATTTTTATTATTAATCGTTGATTTTAATAAGATAAAATGACAATTTATTACATCGATTCGAATAAACGAAATTATGTTGAAATTATGATAATTGAATATAGATAATTTAAGTAAATCTCGAATATATTATTAAACGTATTATTATATAAAAATTATCGAAGTATTCAATTCAATTACCCTCACTATCTCTTGCCAATTGAGGTCAATTGAATTTCATCCTATCGATTACATAATAACTCCATCATCTCACCCTACCATGTGATACGATCGTTAATCGTATCATATAACCGATTAAATATATAGGAAAACAAGAACGTCTAGAAACGACTTACTAGTTCCTGTTCCAGCGCGAACACGTAGTGATTGAAAAACTTGTGCAGCTTCTCGTTCGTATAATTAATACAGAGTTGCTCGAAACTGTTTATGGCAAAGTTTTCAAAGCCAAATATATCCAAAACACCAAGAAACCTTGAGCTATCCTGACCGGGGTTTGTACAATTATTTATATGATTGATTAACCAGGCAAATGTTCTCGAGTATAATGCTTTCGCCATAGCGTGTCTATTTTCACGGGCTTCTTGAACTTTCAATGGTATCTCAGTGATATTTCCTCGGACGTTTATCTGTCGTATCAAAACCACCTTGGTGAGATCTTCAACCTGAAGTCCGAGCAAAGGTGCAACTGTACCAACGATGTCAAGGTCTTCTTTAGTTAGCTCGCATCTCTCACCATCCACGTCTTCAAAGTTTAAATTTCCGAGCCAAAGAATGGCAGACAGGACTCTGAAAATACCCTCGCACATTTCTGGCGCGACCTATAAAAACGGAAATATAATTTATTATCTATTTATTTTAACAATGTATTTTAACAATATATTGAATAAGAGAAAAAAGAAATCAACAAGAAAAAAATATTAAAGAAAGACATTATATTTTCATGTTTTAAAATATTTTTTTTTTTTTGATAATTTTCTTATATTTTAATTTTCTAAATAATTTTAATTTTTTAAATATTTAAAATAAATTGTATAAGTAAAAAGAAAATGTTAAACATTTCAGTTATATAGAATTATAGAATTTACACATACTAATGTTTACACATACTAATATTAATGAACATAACATTTTACGATATCACTGATTATGTATTAATTACCTGTAGTACGTTAAATGCAAGCCTAAGAGCATCTAGCTTCTTGCAGTCGGAGATTCCATCGATTTTAACGCAGCCAGACTGATTCAAATATTTGTAATGACTGGCTGGCATCAGTTTATATTGTTCGGCGAATTCCTTATCCCTAGTCCCAGCCTCGACCAGCTGATAGAACACGTGGTAATTTCTCTCGCCGGCGCTTTGAAATGTTATGCGACTCTGCTCGAGCAAATAATCTTGAATGATGCATCCCTTGATCATCCACTTGCTGTCGAAGCATACTTGCATGAACTTGCCAAACCGAGAGCTATTATCATTCCTCACTGTCTTTGCGTTTCCTGTTTTAAGAATAAATATAAAAATATTTAAATAATGATTATTATGAAAGAAGAAATGTTAATTTTCATAAAAATCTTTTGATTAAAAAAATCTGTAATCGAAAAAAAATAGTGGAAAAAGAATCTAATATTTTAATATTGACAGAATTAAACGATGTTGAAAAATATTTTTATAACGAAGTTAAAAAACTTTGAAGTGGATGCACTTTGTCGAGATACATAAGCAAACGGTACAATTTTCATGACACTCCCCTTAAATCTTTTGCCTCTCGTGACCCAGTTTTTACCCCTCGCGCTTTTACATTTAACACCTGACTCATTCTCGGCCTCTTGACTTCGAATAATGAATCCCCTTTATTTTTTAAATGGTATTAAGAATAACGTTCATCGATCCATTTCATAAAAGTCTTTTACATTCCGTTTATATTTCTTTTTCGAGCATTGTTTTCAGAATGAGAAAAAATCTCGAAAAAAAGATTCCTCTTGGACTTTTATAAAAGGTGTTTATAAAACAGTTTCATAATAAATCTATTTTTAATGAAACTTAAGTAAATAATTTCTAGTTTCTTCATTTATAATCATTTTTAATTAACAATGATTCTATGAAGAATGAAGAATTTGAATTAACAAATTTCTTTTTAATAATTCCATTTGCAAATGTAATAATGTAAAATAGAATGATAATAAATTATGTTTAATACTAAAAATAATCCAATCAGATTTAAAAAGTTACATAATAAGTTTTCAATCGATTTTATGAAGGACAAAGTTTTCGTGTTAGCGTGATAAGCTACAATTTTCTGGAAAATTAGGAGCAGGAAGTAAATTGAACGAAAATATAATTAACGGATAAAAATTGATTGTTAACAAGATTATGTAATTACCGAAAGCTTCGAGGATGGTGTTCGCTTCCAAAATTTGTTGTTCCACCCACGTATCGACATTACTGGTCACCGAGCAAAGATACTGTAAGATGAATTTTGTGGTTTCCGTTTTGCCTGCGCCACTTTCTCCCGATATCACACAGGATTGATTGCTCTCTGTATCTTGAAGTGACCTATACGCCGCCTCCGCCAATGCAAATACATGTGGCTCCAACGAGCCCATTTTTTGGCCATGGTATCGATTCACGTATTCCTAAAAAATCGAAAAATTTGATTTTTTTTTTTAGAAAATCTCTTTTCAATAGAAAAAATATCATAAAATTATTCATAAAAAAGATTTATTATTTTTATGGAATTCAAATTATTTTTAATTCTACTATATTATTTTGGTAGTTGAGATAGTCTTAAGATGTTAGACAACGATATTGAGAGTGTAAGATCTATACAACTTTATTTCCGGAGGAAGTTTAATTCACTTGTCAATAAGACTATTTATACCTAAAATATACGTGTATATTAGACAATAGATATAGTATTTAATATAGTAATCAATGAATGATCAAATGAAAATTGTAATAGTAAAAATTATTAACAGATTTCTTTGAAAAAATAATATATATAAGATTCCAAATTGAGATTTGATTATTATAATTTAATTCATAATACTTACTTATTTTTTTTAATATCAAAAACAAAATTGAACAAAGAAATTTATCCTATTTCAATTATTTTAATACAATAAATATTTTAATACATTTTTTTTATTTTTTTCTTTCTATCATAGCAAGAAACTAATGATATAATTCATTAGTTTTAATTATTGTTTTATCATCGTGACAAATAGATGCGATAATTCAATTTGAATTAAAGGCGATAGATAGGCTCAACAACACTGCTAACCCGATTAATTCCAGATGTCATTTAATAGGACATTCAATATCCAAGTTCCATTCAGTCCCTTTCATTTACCGATTCCCTTGCGAGATCGTATCATAGTTCTAAAAGATATATACATCAATAGTTCGATTTCAAAGAGATTAACGCTTTGTGTTTATATCATTCGTATCAGATGGTCCACTGCTTGCAAAATCTGTTTTATTTAACACTACGAATTTATTATTTATGTTCATATTTATTACTATTTCAAAAATAATATACAATGCAATTTTTCTTCTTTAATTTAATTTAATATATAAATTATAACAGAAATAAAAAAAAACATCTTCTATAGCATATAAATTAAAATAAAGAATAATAAAACAACGAAATAAAGAAAATGATAAAAAAAGTTTATACCTAACTTTTTTAAATCAATTACACATTTATCGCAAGAATTAGAGAAGAACAGAAATAGCATGCTATTGGTTTATCAAAATACTGGAATTCCATAATTTTTAAACAGGAGAGATTTCACTTAAGATAGTTTTTCATGAATCTATGCATCCATGCATTATACACATTATTATACGCATTAGACACTAGCTGGTCTTGTGCTTGCAGCCAGTACTGAACGAAGTAGTGCAACCCAGTTTCATGTCAGACACGTCCTCTGCGCAACTGCGAGCGCAGAGAACGTTAATTCACTAACCCTCATGGCTCGTGAAAATTCATCGAAACGCTTGATCCATTTCCATAAAACCGCAGAGAACTCTCAGCATTCTACCTTCTGTTACATATGTACATACATTCGCTATGTCTATACATTTTAACGAAAGATCGAGTTTACAACGATTCAATAATTCTATCTAGATTGGAGTGTTACATGGAATTCTCGCAATTTACTTTATTTTTTCGCCGGGAGAGGGAGAACGCGTCAAGATTTCGGTTGCAGTATTACAGACCGCTTCAAAGATGCATTCTTTGGAGGAAATGTACGTAGACTGTGAAGAAATGAGAAAAAAATTATGCAAACATAACTGTATGCAAGGTGAAATTTACGTAACTGGAATTTCGTGAATTGCTTGGTAAATATTGATGTTGGCAAAAATTGGCTGAGATGAAAGTCGCGATATTCTAACGCACTCTGGTGAAATATTTAAAAAGTTTCTTTTCTTTAATATTTTTGAATATTTCAAATTATTTATTGATTACTATATTTTTGAGAAAGAATTTTTGTAAAAAGAATAAATAGTATTGAAAGAAAAAAAAATCGATGTTATTTCCAATACTATCAATAATCTCCATTTATAAATTTTTCTATATATATATATGCTCAAAAATACGCCATCTGTCGTATTTTTCAAATAACTAATGAAAGTTATTTTCCTTTCTTTTCTGAATGTAACCAGAGGATAAAGATAATACTAAGAAGATACTTTATCGGATATGTTCGAAAGGAATTATCTTCAGGTATGTTTGCATGGAAGATAAACTTAAATTATGGCCATAAGTTCTTGAGAAAATAAATGGTCTCCGTTAAAAATAGTGGAATACAACGAATTCCAGGTGGCTGTCATACGGAAGTCCTATAGGCATATCTTATCTGTTTTCTTTGAAAAATATATATATATATAAATGTGTACATATATATATATATATATATATATCCGTACATTAGTATGTGTAAAAAAATGAATTTTCGACAATCTCCATACTTTTTTATCCATGATTGTTTGTTTTTTAAGAATGTCAATTTTTAGCAAGCTGCTATTATTAAAACGATGTTTGAACAGCTCTTAGCAGGTTATCTAACTTTTATTGCAAGATTGTTCCTTTGGAGAAACATATCTACAGCCGAAAATGAGATTTTTTGAAATATGACCATTATTTTTTAAACCTAATATTTCTTCAAACAACGTTTATCCTCATATACTAATAATATAACTTTTTAGCTCATTTAAAAATTTTTTTTTTAATTATAATTACAAAATAAAATAAAATAATTTTCATTTTTATGAATATTATGATACGAGAGAATGATACGATATGAGAGAATATAACATAATAAAATTAAAAATAAAATTTGTAAAAATTTATTAAATTATTAAAAAATTATTAAAAAATAACTATAAAAAGATTGTAAGTATAAAGATATTAATTTGCCTTTAAATTCTACAATTTGTATGCTATTATCCCAGATTTACAGTTCTATTATCATACGTGTCCACATTTCAAAGCGTAATGCATATCTACTTATATCTATTTCTATTTCTTTCACACCATCAAAAATATCTTTCGGATTCTCAAAAACTTCTTCCTCTTTGTAGAACGGAACAAAATGACTGGCTCTTTGCTTTCACACAATGGTCGGAAAGAAAAGAACGGAAGAAAAGCGCGGAAAACGAGCGAGCTATGCGCATCGCGAATGTTTTGACTCGAAGCGAGTACTCGTGAGCCTCGAATGAGCGAAGAACTTGTGTCCCCATTTATTCCTGCAGCTGCGACTGCAAAATCAGTGCACGGTTCGCCGACTAGAGGCCACGACTCGTGTCAGGACACCGAGGTCGTGCTTACGACCCCTCTTTCTTCGATGGTGTCGTTGCCCGACTATGTGCGCAAAGACGAGCAGAAAAACGAGGTTACATCGAATCGAACATAAAAACAGAATTGTTTTCCATATATTTGCTTCTTAATCCTTCTATTGCATATTTATTTAATTTTTGAAAAATATTTTGAAATATAATCCGATAAAAAATCTTTCATTTTCAATTTTTGTTGCATTTTACATGTTAATAATAACATATATATCATAATTTTAATAAAAAAAATTGTTCAAAAGAGATTCCCAAAAATTTCAAAAATTAGATAGTCAATCAAATATATCAGAGAATATTAATATATGTAACACGGTAAAAGAAAATTTTAATGTTGATTAATCGCATTGTTCGTTATTAATTAAAGTCATAAAAGAAATTCGAGAGAATTGATTAAAGATATTTGAGGATTCTCATATTATATAGAAAAGAATAATAAAAAGAGACTTAGAGATTTCCTCTAAGTTTGTTGACTCTTGGCAATTCGCAAAGAACGTCATAAATAATTTTTATGGGAAGCTGAATGAAAATATGTATTGTCAATTGAAAAAAATTATAGCGAAATTATATTTCTTATATTTTATTGATATTGAAATTGAATTTCTAAGTTAAGATCGAAAATATAATATTTTATTCTTTAATAATAAATATTTTATTCTGAATTTTCTAATATTTTATTCTGAAATTTTTTAAATATTAGCACGATTATAATTTAATACATAAAAAGATTTCAATTTCTATATAATAATCTCAAACATCAAAATTTGTCATACATTAACTTTGTCTTTATTTTTCAATTATAACTATAAATCAAAATGCATTAACTTTAATTTTCAATACAAAACATACAAAATCATGATAATAAATTTATAAAAAATATATATTCTAAAATTATTCTAATTTGATTTAGAAAAGAAAGAAATATGAAATTAATTTTTTTTTTTTTTTTTTAGGAAATGATGGAAATTATACACGTGAGAACAGAGATCTACATCTTATTTGCATGGAAACCTAACGAGGCATTGGTGGTCACGTGAGCAGAGCCCATTCTTCAAACCAAAGAATGAGACGGCTCCAGAAAAAGGGGGACGCTTCGTTTTCTCGAACGAACAAAACCACAGCCGGTAAAACGGCGTAAAATAGAAAAGACCTGGAACAAAATGGAGCGATCTAACAGCCTGCAGGTCTGATCTTAATGACGACACATACTGGCGGTCCAGTTACTGCTGGATGATCGTCTTTGACGTAAATCAGTACGGTTGATTACTTCGAAACAGTCGGATTGATCGTTCGTGCAATATGAGTGAAAGAAAAAAAAAATGAAAGGGAGATAGAAGCATAAATAATACGGAATGTGCAACAACGAAATAAAAATATTCTCTCTAGAGTATACCTTCGTTTGCATTATACTGCAAATGAAAAAATATATCGAGATGTTCCAGTTTCCTTTGTTTTTGAAAAGATACTGATAAACTAAAAAGTTTTTTGACCCGATTTACATATTTCTAAATATCATTTATCAATTCTTTCTTCAATTTATTTATCGTCTCTCTTTCATGAAACGTATATTTTAATATTATTTCATTTCTTTTATAAATTTTTTTGAAATACTATTTATTCGATTGGATGATTTAATTTCTGAAGAAAATTAACATAGCCTTTTAAAAATTTCAGGAACTTAGCATTGAAGTTACGTGCTAATAATGATAAATATCAAGAATGGATATGGTGTAAAATTTATCGTGGTTTTTAAATGGCAGCGGAAATTATCCTTTTAAAAATCTTTTTCAAATAATAATTATAACTATGTGATTTACTTTTTAAGACTTGATGCAATTTTTTAAAACTTCAGAAACTATTATGTTGAAGTTATCTGATAACAATGATAAATCAGGATTAGGTATGATGTAAGACGTTACTGCGGTTCGTAAGTGGCAGCGGAAATTATCCTGGTCCTATCCAAGATAGATATCGTGGTGGTCGACGATTAATCAAAACACGACACCGTTCACGAGGAGAACCCATATTCAATTACCACAAAATTATCCTTACATATTAAGATCGTTGAGATCTGCTAACTGTATTCCCAAGTTCCTTCTATGAGTTAGGCTAACGATCGAGAGAAGTGGATTAATAGGCATAGATCCTGTTAATTAGAAAACAATAAACTGCAAGAATTACCATGAAAATAACAGTATTTAAGTAAAGAATCTCTTTCTTTCAATTATACTTCAATTATACAATTTCTTTTGAATGAATTCTATTAGATATTCACTTGAAATCAACTCAAATACTTTACTACACATAATCAAGTCAAATAATTTCATTTATATGAATATATCTATAAATCAAAAGTATATAAAATAAGTCAAGTTAAACTTAAAATTCAAGGTAAAAATAATTCTTTATCCTTAATTCGTGTACAATTATTTTTAACCGTATGTCATGTTCAATATCCAATCGAATACGTTGAATTTCTAGAAGAAAAGAATCGGTAATAGGTTTATGCGGATCGACATGGGTACCCGGGCACCGTCGCCAACGAGAGGAAAGGACGAGGCACCGAAGGCTCCAGGGCAACCACGACGAGTCTCCGAATCCGATGTGCGCTCCAGCCCGATCAATAACACGGGGCGTGCACCACACCGAGCCACCCTCTTCCTTCTTGCCAGCCAGGGGTCCTCGTTTGGTACCCCGGCTGACCTTCGAAATTACCGATCTATCGTATATATACAATCGTTTCACATTTTAATCTTTATTTTCTTTTTCTTCTACTTGTTATATATTTCACTTAAAAATGTATATTATTCATATCTTTGGAAACAGAGGTTACTTGGAATTTTCTTGCCAGAGACAACGCCCTCTTAGATTCTGGAAGCATTGTTATTCTAAGAGAAGAATTTATTTTGAGAGTAAGGTAAGGAAGGAAGGAAATTTTTAATTATATTCTTTTGTTAAATAGTTATTTTTGAAAATAGATAAAGATTGAATATTTAGAAATTATGGAAGAGATTTTATTGATTTTGAATTTGTTTTAAAAAAAAAGAAAGTTTTTATATTCTTCTATTAGATAGTAATTTAAATAAAAGATAGAGATTGAATGTGTAGAAATTAATATAAATGAAAGATAGAAATAAGATAAAATATTTAAAAGGAAAAGAAGTTTTTGAATTTTGTTCTTTTAATAAATAATAATAATTGAATCCAGTTTGAATGTTTATGAATTCAGATAGAGATTAATTAGCAGAATATTTGGTTTTATTATAAGTTTTATCGAGAAAGATCTATTCAAAAGACCTCTTTTCAAAACCTCTTTAAAACGTGACTCATTTGGTATGTACAACGTGAATTTATAAAGTCAAAAGAACACGATTAATGTAGAGACACGGGTTATACATCAAAGCAGTTTTCCATCGAATAGTTCCATCGAATCTATAACAGACAACTCGTGGAAACCAGTCGAACATGAATCACAGAAAAAATACTATACTATACTAAATCTCTTTAAAAGATTACTCGAATCAAGCAAATAAAATTATGTAATAAATATCATTTATATTAAAAGTCTCGAAATTATATAGAAAATATAAAAAAATAAGATAAATGATATAGAATTCTATGATATGAAAAGAAATTATACACAGAAATAGAAAAAAATTAAAAATAAAAATCCTTTACAAAATTAAAAAAAATTTAAAATTAAAAAAAAATTAATTCTTTTATAGAATATTATTTAAAATTTATTTAAAAGAAAAGATTAAAAAAATTATACGACTAAAATGATGTAATCTTTTACATATATATATATATACATATAATCTTTACAATAGAAAAAAATAAAAGAGGGTCATACGACTTCGACCAGGTGGAAAGGGTTAAATCGCTGACTCGGAATAAATTTTATTGTACCGTCATTTTTTTTCTTTTTTATTGCCTTAATTTGATTTAATCGCGTAACCCTTTCGTTTTATTTTATTTTTTCTCTCTCTTTTCCATAGCACGACGCCACACGATATTCGAAGGGTCGAATGCCGTTCGAGGACCGTTTCACTGTCGGCGACCCGTATTTACGTACGAAGTGGCTGCCACTCGATCCCGAAATAAGTCCTCGCGCGCAGGCTGCGCACCCTAATTCACTGGCCAGGCTGATATGCGCGTTAACGCCGCCAATGGTTTTAAGCCCGATGCTCGCACGCCTCGAAATAGAGATTAAAAAGCGACGCACGCATGAGAAACAGGAGAAAAATGACGAGCTATGCACGATTATCGAGGATATGCGCTTGCCAAGTTCGAAATCCCCGCCTTTTTCAGGTCGGATAGAAAGACCAATTTGTCATTGGTTATCGGAAGCAAGAATATTTTCGAAAGTAACGCATAGATAATTTTTTTGAGAACGGTGGGAATATTTTTGAGTTATGAAAGTGGAAAGTGGTTTAACACGTTCGCCACGTATAAGGTGTCTTGAATTCGAGTTGTAATATATTTTAAAGTACAGTCGATCGTGAAAGTCTTTGTGTATTATCTCGCAAAAATTCATTTTGTTAATGAAAATTTTTTTTATGATATATAGATAATAGATTATACGCAGAGATTGGAATTTTTTTCTCTTTTTTAAATATAATTTTGTTTAGAAATATTTTTTGCAATTAGAACATCAAAAATGTATAATGTTATAAATTTAATATATATATGGAAATTATATTTCTTGGAAATAATCGATTATTTGAAGTGATAATAGTTTAAAATAATAGTTTATGGAAATAACGAAAAAAATAAGGGGAAAATATGGTGTTTTCACAGCTGGAAAAATAAATGATTTACACCGATAGATCGATAATGTGACCTAGAAAACCTTTTCAAAGAGTTGATCAGTCGTTTCGCGATATCACTATGAAAGCACGTTGCGGTTTCCGTTTCCTGTTTTCCAATACGATAAAGCCGTTCTGTCTTCTCGCGTTTTGCGTGTTAACGAAACAAGTTTGATAAGAACTTTGTATTGTTACAATATCAATCATAAATTACCAATTTTTTCTTATATTTTTATAACTATTCTTTCTTATATGATGATAGAATATAACAATTCAATATCATTTTTATATTAAAACTAATAATAAAAAAATAATTTTTATATTTGGATTGACTCAAAAATATTTTATAATACAATACTTTAATCGAAAAATTTATAAGTACAACAAGAAAATTTGTGCTACAAAATAGCACTAGAAAATGATGGCCAGAATTATTTTAATAGTAAAAAGATAAAAAGGAAAAATTATTGTTAAAAATTCCAAAAAGATTCATGATCACAATTTAATAATAAAACTTTCATGAAATTCATGACCAACTTCTTAATTGTATACTGAAAGGAGAAGCCAATTATTACTTCGAAAGAAGAGGGGATGGGGGCACGTGCAGCCTTCTCTGTTCTTCGAGGCAACCGCCGTGTTTAATATTTGCTATTCTTCGACGCCACTTCCTGCACACATTTGACGCAGGAAGTGCGTAAGTAATTGCGCATTTTAGTAACAGCGGCACGATGCTTGTCACTTTAATTTTGCCGTATCGCTTTTTAATCTATATCCTATATTTTTTTACATTTTTCTTCAAAAAATATAAAAATAATTCTAAAACGATAAAGCAGTGAAGTAAAAGTAGATAACAAATTTTATGAAAAAAAAAAAATCAAAAAATAGACTTATAATATTTTTAAAATATCTAAAAAGGTGACGTGCCTCAAAATCAAGTAACGAATCCAACTTTGATGTGAAATTGCATTAAATTTAAAAAAAATTGCTTTCCTATGAAAAAGACAAAACACTAACTATTTCCACCCCTGAGTTTTTCAAGTATATGCTACCCCATAATTCGTATTCTCAATGACGCCAATTATCCCCAATCGTACAATGAGCCAGGCTTTCGACTCACAATCTCCGTACAATCGAATCGATTGTTTCGATCCAAATGTACAAAAGAAAAAAAAGTGAGAAAGAAAGAGAGAAAGAAAGAGAGAGAGAGAGAGAGAGAGAGATAGAAAGGGAGAGGGAGAATAAAAGAAAAGAATCTAGCATTCGTTTTAAATGCAGGGCATTAAAAGATAATCACGCGCAATAATTCCAATTTACTCACGTTCGTGTAGAAGTCCACTTCTTTGTAGGGGTTCACAGCCACCAATATGGATCCGGTATACGTCTGGTGTCGAATAATCGTAATACTAAGTCAAGGAAAATTATCGGTGCGCCGACTCGTTAAATCGCTGATGCATTCAGCCATTCGTCTATTAATCTGAGGGATGCAAATGAACGAAGGAAGAGAAAGGAAGAAATGGAAATTTGAAGAAAGAAAAAAAAAAAAAGAAGGAAGGGAGGGAAAAAAGAGAGGCGGAAGGTTGTGTTTACCTGTAGCTGAAAGGAACCGTGTCGACGGTATTATTTCTCATTCTCCAACCTCGTGAACCTCCTTGAATGATAATGCGACATGCATTCCCAATGGGGGCTTGTATTCTGAGCGTGACGTCACGCGTGGTGCAGCAATGTGAACGCGTGTCGGTATTTTCTTCTTTTTATATTTTCCGACTGCTTTATGAAATTTGTATATTTAAGGAAGTGAAAGATAAATGAATAACGTTTTGTCGAAAATTGTCTCGACGCATTCACACAACCACGTGTTACGTACATACATAGTTATTAATTTTTCATTTGTCTTGGTAGAAAATAAAAGTTTGCATTGTAATATCTTTGATCTTATGGTCATACGTACGAAAGTAGAAAAAGTATAAAAGTGTTTAAATATATTCAATGCATAAAAAACTACTACTTTCAAACTATATTACTATTATAGTTGGCATTTTTTTTTTTTCCAATTCCAGTTTAAAACATGTCCATACGGAAAAATGTTCGAAGCAAATGGCCTGATATTTTCTATTCCAATATACCATGGGTCGTGTTATTTTTACCCAACCTACGCCTGCCCCAGAAATCGAAACGCATCGTTATGATAATATGCTTTCTCCAAACGAAAGAAAAAAAGAAAGAAAAATAATTAAATCGATCCAAATATAGAAATGAAACGGTCGAATTCGATCAAAATATCGACTTCCTCCCCAGCAATTAAACGTTTCTTTCTCCTCCTTTCACATCCTCACCCCATCATAATTCACTCCCTCTGTCATTCACAATTGGTGACAATCTGTCGTCAAATTCAATCAATTTGAATAACAACGATGAACGTAAAATATTAATCGTTTATTAAATAAAACTATCTTCAAACAGCATAATAAATTAACTAATTTTAATTACACATACCAATTTAAATCTATTCTAAAAAATCGAACGAATCCTATCTCCACGAATCTATCTATATTCCACCGTGTACGAATACAGTGTTTTCCAGCGATTGTCTCGCAATTTACCCTGCTTAAGGCAGAAGAAAAGCGAGTCTCGACAGCTAAACGCATTGAACGTGGTCTATAGAGAAGTAGGAAGCGGAAGTCGAGAGAGCTTGCGCCACTTGAGAAACGCGAAACGATTTTAACGATCTCTCGAATTACCGAATGGTCTCGAGTTGCTAGTTCCCTTCTTCTTTCCATCCAACTCCATAACTCGAGTATTGTCAGAATACGTCGGTATGATATCTTCATTCGAATTAACGGGGGAAAAGGGACGAAAATTATCGGTTGCAACGAACGAAATAATTCTCGAGAGGACGATCGAACGATTCCTGAATCTCTCCCTTGCATAATAATCGAACGATGACACGCTTCCGATGGTGGATTTCTCCGATGGGGTGGAGGACGTCGAAATGACGTCACACCCGGGGCGGATGACTCACGGATGAATGCCTGCAGCGAGAAAGGGGATAATACACCTATATAACCGTACCACCCTTCTGTAACATTTGGAACGACAGGGTGCCCCTCCCCACACCAAATAGTCTGCTTCTGGAACTGGTGGTGAGATGGGTTACATTTCGCGACTGTGCACATCTGAAACACGAGTTTTTTGTCATTTGTGCGTTAAGAAATTTGGGAAAATATTGGAATTATTGGAATTATTCGAATGGAAAGGACAGGTAAAAATTTAGGAAAATTATTTGAAACGAGTGCAGTCTATCTGTGTGGTTTCTCTACGTGATGAAAATATTAATTTAAAAAATAGTAAAGAAGAAATAACTTACGATCCTATTTCAAGAATTATTCACAGAAATAATTTCGACAAAACGATTCGAAAAAATTCTGCGAGAGAGAATTTTGAATAATTTTAATTATTTAAGCGTAAGTAACTGGTATTTTTCTCGTACACTTTTGCCGAAAAGCAGGGAGGTTGATGGCGCTTTTTCCAGCAGTCTATTCCATACAGGGTGGCGTTACGTCTATTTTAGTCCTCGACCTTTCTATCCACCGGCAAATATTTCTTCTTTTATTGCGATGTAAAGATGGCCTTCTATCTTGTCGTTTATAGAACTCGAGTTACCCTGACGGAGAAAGACAGCTTCATCGATCGAAAGAAAGATGGAAAGTGACAGGACAAAGACCATCCTCGATTTGTTATTCCTTCACCAATTCCTCCTCGACATATCAAACTCGAAAAGAAGAAGTCGTTAAAAGAGCAATAACCCGTAAAAATCTCTTGAAAACAAATGTTTCATTCGAAATCCTCTTTTCTAGTTTCCTTCTAATCAAACCTCTAAATTGAAAGAATATTTAAACTGGAAAGAGGCAAGGTCGGTCAACTTTATATCAAAATTTTGATATCTTGAAATGTTAAACATACTTCGAGATTTGATGTAATGTCGAGTTTAAAACTTCGTTGAAATTATCTAGAATGATAAGCCAAATTCAAACAAGATATATAATATAATTCGGAGAAGAAGAAGTTTCAAAGATAGCCAGCTACGATTAAAATTTGATTACGTCAAAAAACTTTTTTTTTTTTTGAAAAATCTATCGATAAAAGTAAAAATTAAAAAGATAACGATCCCCAGGAACGTATCAGGAACTCAGTTTTCATTTTAGAAAAAGGAAATACAGATCTGTTATCCGCAGGAAATTCCTTATGGACAGCCGCATTTCCTTCCATTGTCGTTGACGATATTAATCTCTGGTCGGTCGTAGAGAATCATACCGAAAGAGGAATCTTCCATGAAATTCCTTTCAAAGATATTAACGTGCACAGGAAATGTAATCTTTAAAATTTAAAAAAAAAATTCACGTTTTATTTTATTTTTATGAGATATTGTTAAAAAAAAAAAAAAACGTTATCGAGTTTGAACACAAAGACTTGAATTTATTGGCATCTGTTCCTGCAATCGAAGCTGAATCAGCCAATCAGTTGCCAGACCTGTTTCGACAAAATTTAACGGTAGAATTGTCGTCAAGTAGAGGTGAAGCCGAGACGAGAGGAAATCGCTATATCGAACCCTTTAACCGAGAGAAAATCGCCACTCAAGCCTATATTATCTTTGGTTACGGTTTTTGCTAGTAGAAGTGAAAACAGCCGGTTGAAAAAGCGCTTCAAAAGATGGAAATGTAATCATTTCTTTTTTATCCACTTTCGTTTTTGTCTCGAGGCGAGTGATTCCTCTCTCAGATGTTTTTTTTTTCTTTTTTTTTTTTCTTTACGCGGGGAGAGTAACGAATCTCTAATGTGTCTTCGTTTTATTGGAATAATCCGTCGAAATTTTTAATCGGCGAAACGAACGTTGAAGGTAAAGAGAGAGAATTTATAAAAAGAGCAATCTTCCTTTGAATCGTTCGCTCATTTTTAACGAGAATAATAACGCGTTAAAAATCCATTAAATTAAAAGATAATATCAAGCATTCAATAGTATTATCTTCGTCCGAATAAAAAACAATCTCGAAACAGATATCTGATGAAACGAGATATTGAAAACAAATAAAGGTCAAGATAAAAATCTCGAAAAAGATATACCAAAAAAAAAAAAAAAAAACGATCAAAGGAATTCAAACAAAAAAAGGTTTCAAAAGCTAAGAGGAAAAAATTTCAAAGGTAAAAGGTAAAAATATAATCTCAAAGAGTATAATCCCAACAATCAAAGGGGGGGGAGAAAGAGGAGTTGAAAACAGAAATTTTGAAAAACTCGTATCAAAAGGTTAATTTCAAAGGAAAAGGTAAAAAGGCTCGGCTCGAATCGCAAACTATCGATCACCAACTCGATCTCGGCTCGAGTCCGCATTTCCACTGCGCCAACCTAATGACGGTCGGTATCCGGCCGTTCGAGGGTCAACAGACACACGTCGCAAACAGGGTGGCTGACCCAAAAACCGGGAAGGACGATCTCGCGCGCGCCGGACAAACAGAGCATGAAATTTTCAATAAAACGCAACTCCCCCGTGTGTGTACAGGCGAGCCGGGTGACCTGAAAGAAGACTGACCCGAAAAGGAATATCCGCTACCACTTTATCAGATGGAGACGAAACACAAGTTTAATATTCTCTTCGTGAAGATGAGATATCTTCGAAACTTGGTTTTCGAAAGTAAATTACGAATAACATTGGGCAAATATGAGGGACAATGAAGGTAATCAGCGAAGGCAAACGTCGATTATATTACACGTGATCTGTTTTTTACGAGACGTGGAGAGGCTCTCTTGAACGACTTTGACAGGCATAGGGTTGGAATACCTACTCGATAAATCTCAGCGATGATGGATCACGTATTTCCACATGTTTGTATTCTTGTTCTACTACTTAATCAGACTAAATAAAATTTTCTTTTTTCAGTGTCAAACAGAATAAATTTATAAGGAGTTACAATGAATATCTAAGTGAAAATAATCAAAAGCATTTTGAATAATGCATGATACATTTTCTCCTCCTCAAGAGAGAGAGAGAGAGAGAGAGAGAGAGAGAGAGAGAGAGAGAGAGAGAGAGAGAGAGAGAGAGAGAGAGTTAAATGTAAATTATTCTTGCTCTTTGACGAGTTTATTTAATCTTCGTTACGATATTGGATCGTATCGTGTTTTTCTATATGTTAAAAAATCTTTGAGGAAAATACGTATTAAAGTAGAAAATATTCAATTAAAACGTAACACCGAGCGTCGATAATGATTACGCGATCTCTTTATGCATTTTCTTTTGTATCACAAGCGACAAATAGAGAGTCACGAGGCGGAGGATGGTACACTCTCATTAACCTCTCGGTGGCAAAGCGCTCTTAGCCGCTCTGCTTCAA